GTGTGGCAATACCGACCATGGCTAATTCGATTCCGTCAATGTCGTTCATGCAGATCTCTTGTTAGCCATGCTGATCAAGAGGCTCTGCGTCGGCGTAGAGCTCGCCGTTGTGCGCCGCGACTGGCGCTGGCTTCAACTTTCGAGTTGTCAACACCGCCGCTTAAGAAGCTCGCCAGAGTTGCAACCGTTGTGTACTGGTACAGATCTGTCAGAGAAATAGGTTGATCCAGGGTCTCTTTTAAATGGTTGTGCAGCTGCACAACCAGTAGAGAGTGTCCTCCGAGATCAAAAAAGTTCTCATTCAGACCAATCTCATCCAGCTTCAGAACCTTTTTCCACAGCTCAGCAATCTGCATTTCCAGATCACTTTTTGGCTTGGCGTCTTCGGAGATTGCTCTCGCCTGCACGGGTTTGATGTCCAGCAGTGCTTTGCGGTCCAGTTTGCCGTTGGCGGTTCTCGGCATTTCAGGAAGCACAACGACTTCGTTGGGAATCATGTATTCAGGCAGGCTTGACCGCAAAGATGAGCGCACATCAACATCGGCTATGGCTTGCGCATCACTGGCGCACAAATAGGCCACCATGCGCTGATCGCTGCTGTCATCTGCACGCACGATCACGGCAGCTTCATCAACCGCCGGTATGGCCTCGATGCGGGATTCAATTTCACCCAGTTCAATGCGATAGCCACGCACTTTAACCTGAAAGTCTGTGCGTCCAAGGTATTCGAGGCTGCCATCTTCGCGGTAGGTCGCCAGGTCACCGGTTGCGTACATTCGGCTGCCGAGGGTTTTGGCAAACGGGTTGTCAAAAAATCTTTCTGCCGTTAACGCCTCCCGGTTCAGATATCCGCGAGCGACCCCTTTGCCGCCGATATAGAGTTCTCCAGGAATGCCTTCGGGTAAAGGTTTTCGATATTTGTCGAGGATATAGATCTGCGTATTGGCAATCGGTTTGCCGATGGAAATGCCGTCTGCCAGGTTTTCGACCTGGCTCGCCATAGACCAGATGGTGGTTTCGGTGGGTCCATACATGTTTGACAGCGTTGCTGTTGAGTTCTCTTTGAGTTCCTGTGCCAGAGATAAAGGCAATGCCTCGCCACCCAGAAGCAGGTGGGGGATTTTCTGTATCGCCGGTTTAGTCTCGTTATCAAGCAGATACATGCGCGCGGTTGAAGGCGTGCACTGCAGGTGCGTGATGTTGTGGGTTTCAATGAGATCAGCGACGCTGGCTGCAGTTCCGCTGGGTTCCGCCTGGCTTACAGCCTCAACCATTTTTTCCCGCAGTGATTTCAGACGAGGCAGACTGTCCAGAATCGCCTGAGTTTCGACGCCAAAATCCATCAGGCAGGCTATTTCGTCCACACCGGTGTGGGTGCAGTCGGTGAGCATTTTAAGGCAGGTGGCTTCATCTCCAAACAAGCCACTGCCAACAAAATAGCGCTCGAAGGCAAAATTCAGAATGGTATCGACTTCTTCTTCACTCAGAGACTTGAGGTCAACGTCTTCCGGTTTGGTCACGTCACCACCAGGACGCTTAAACGCCGGGAAAGACCAGGCGTAGTCCATGGCCAGTTTCATCGAACTGGATAGATAGTCTTTCATCGGTTCGCGGACAATCTCACGCACTTCGTCGTTGTCCACACCCACAAAGGTGTGCAGCATCAAAGCAACGCGGCCTGTTGCCGGGTCGTGCCCTGCCTCTGCACGCGCTTCTCGATACATGCGCGTTTTTTCTTTGACTTCGTCCAGGGTCTGTCCCAGCAGGTGGGTCAGTACGTTCAAGCCGAGACGACCTGCTTCCATCCAGGTATCCGGGTTACCCGCGGTGGTAATCCAGCAGGGCAGTTCTTTCTGTACAGGCCGGGGTAAAGACTCAAGTTCAACATCACCTAATGGGCCGGGAAAGGTGAGTTTTTCGCCGCGCCATAATGCGCGGACCTGTTCCAACTGTTCGTACATGCCGCGCTTGTTATCAGCGTGGTTTTCGGGACGCAGCACAAAGTCGTTAGGGTTCCAGCCGGAAGCCGCAGCAATTTCAACCCTGCCATTTGAAAGGTTATCTACCACGCCCCATTCTTCAGCAATGCGCACCGGGTGGTGCAGGGGGACCACGCAGCTGCCCGCTCTGATTTTGATATTGCTGGTAATAGCAGCTACGGCTGCGCCAGTGACTGCCGGGTTCGGGTAAGGTCCGCCGAACGCATGGAAATGTCTTTCGGGGGTCCATACTGCGGAAAATCCATTCTGGTCAAAGAATTTGGACCCTTCGATCAGCAGTTTGTATTTGTCTGGCCCCGGACCATCGTCGTTGCCCCACATGAACAGGCCCATATCCAACACATGGGTCGGCTGTGCAGCGGATAGCGCTGCTGCGCTACGGTGGCCGCTCTCGTCATAAATAACAACTTTGAAGCCGCGATTGATTGTCCAGAAAAGCTCAAGAATGGAGATGTCGAAGGACAGGCTTGTCACAGCCAGCCACGTACGATTTTCAAGGGTTGCGCCGGGTATGACCTGATCCATGGCCACAAAGAAATTAACAACGTTGCGATGCTCCAGCATGACCCCTTTGGGTTTGCCTGTGGAACCTGAGGTATAAATGACGTAGGCCAGGTCCGTTGGTTTGTTCTGAATTGCTGTCAGAATGTCAGCAGCCGGAACGCTTGTGTCTGCTGACTTGTCATCTACCAGCAGCAACGATGCGTTGCTTTGCGGAAGCTGATCAGCCAGAGCCTGCTGAGTGACAATCAGCGGCATAGCCGAGTCTTCGATCATGAAAGCAATTCGATCCGCAGGAAACGCTGGATCCAGAGGCACGTAGGCAGCACCGGATTTCAGGATCCCCAGGGTTGATACCATAAGGTCAGTAGAGCGGTTGACGTAAACGCCCACCAACGAGCCTGGACCTGCACCTGCCGACACCAGTCGGCTGGCAAGGCTAAGGGCCTGGTCATTCAGTTCCGCGTAGGTCAGCTTCACGCCGTTTGCAACAATGGCAACAGCCTCTGGCGTGGCGGCAACCTGTGCGTCGAAACCGCTGAGCATCAACTGGCTCTCATCAAACGATACATCCGTCTGATTAAGGGTATAAAGCAGCCTTTCTCGATCTGCCGATGACAGCAGATCAAGCTCTGAGGCGGCAAGCCCGGGGTTCGATTGTGTTGCGTGCAGCCAGTTCAGGAAATCTGTTTTGAGGCGTTCTACGCTGGCTGTGTCGTAAGCTATGCGGGCAAAATCTAACTTGCAGTAACCATCGTCCAGCATGTGCAGTTCAAGTTCGGCGATGGATTCAGTGTTGTGGCTGCCCAGGATTACACCCACGCCTGCGTGAGGGCCAATGTGCTGCGCTACTACAGGATTGGCCTGACGCGCAATCAGGTCCTGTAAAAAGGGTGCTCTGTTGATCAGCTTGGTGATCTGCTCCGTGCAGGCGGATTGGTTGTGTGTGACGCTTTTATCCGCTGGGAATTTCAGTTGCGCAATGGCGTAAGGGGCAAGCAACTCTGGTGCTGCCTTTGCTGTTTCGAAGAGGCTGCCACCGCAGACCAGCAGACTAAGTTCGTCGCTGGCATTAACGCGTGCCAGAAAACTGGCAAACGATGCGGCAATGGTTTCTTTCGACTCATTTTTGAGCGCTTCAGGTAGATTAAAAGCCAAGGATTCGCGCGCAGCGCCGGCAGCGACATCTTCAACCTGAAGTCGATAAGGCATCGCCATAGTATTCAGGGCGGTCAGTTGTTTTGCCCAGAAGGTCTCTGCTTTGCCGATACCTTCTATGAGAGGATCAAACTTTTCGAAATTGTAGTTGAGTGAAGCACCCGCCTTGCAGTCCAGCTGTGCAACAGATACTTCCTGACCGTTTGTATCTCGCAGGCCGCCGATTTCCAGAACCTGGCCATCACCACAGGCAACCGATATAGAGCGATCGTCAACTTTGCAGACAGTGCCCGGAGTACTGGTTTGGGTATCGGTCGAGAGACTCGCAGCATCTACAATGTAAGCTTTGTTGCTTATTACAGTCTTTGCGGATCCCAGTACGTTTTCATAGCGACCTGTATTGAGTGCTCGAACAAGGCGTTCGATGTCGGCAGCAGATTGGGACCAGTCAATCAGCCCTAGATATGAAGGTCGATCTGCACGTCCATAATATCTGCGCTGGGAAAGATCCTGGGGTTGTGGCGCGAGGGCGTCGTTGCGGATCTGTTCCAGAAGACGAGGGAAAGATTCCATCGCTGCACTGAAACACTTGGTGTTAAGCGATAGTGCGGTATCGTCATCAGCAATGGTAACGGGTTCGGTGATGAGGATATCGCCCGTATCAATACCCGCTGTCATTTCGTGCCAGGTAATACCGTACTGATCAGCATTGTTGATTAACGCCCACATTGGGGTGTTCAGTCCGGCATAATCGGGTAGGGGGCCGTCGTGGAAGTTTATCGCACCACGGTTGGGTGTGGTTACCGCTTCATCCGGGATCAAAGCCAGGTGGGTGATGGCAAACAGATAGTCGTAATCCAGCGCCTTCAACGCGTCAACATAATCACGGGTTGTTGCATGTGTCATTACCTGGTGCCCTGCGGCCCAGCTTCTGACAGTTGGGTTGTCGGTGATTACCAGTTTAATTTCAAAATTTGCAGCCAGTAGCAGTTCACCACATTGAGTAAGCAGGGTGTCACCGCCGATCAAGGCACAACTAAGAGGGGTTGAAAGCATCGTGTTATTAACCATTGTTGTTACGCGAATTCCTTGTCTCAATTTCCCGAGAGACTGTGTGAGCATTATGCACCCATAAATGTTCAGCAAAGCCCCACATTACATAGTAGGTACAAGTTATTATATTTTTGCTAAGCCTTTTCCCTTAGGCTGGCGGCGCTCAAATCGGCTAAACATTTTAGTAAGGATATCAGAATGGTAGATCGGTCTACTGTGCCAGTCTTCATACTTTGCGGAGGGCTGGGAACACGGCTGAAAGAAGAAACAGGGTCCAGACCTAAACCCATGGTACCGATTGGCGATAAACCCATTGTATGGCATCTGATGCGAACTTATTCGCGCTTTGGCTTCCGGAAGTTTGTGCTCTGTCTCGGCTATAAAGCCGAAGTCGTGAAATCATATTTCCTTAACTATCACTCGTTAAATTCAGATTTTACTGTTTCGCTGAGTTCCAATGATGTTGAGGTCCACTCGGTGGATCATGAGGAAGACTGGGAGGTCACGCTGGCATTTACCGGCGAGCTGAATATGACGGGTAGCAGGATTGCGCAGGCTACTGGAAAGTATCTTGGCAATAGTGAACATTTTGCGGTGACTTACGGGGACGGTTTAACTGATGCAGATCTTGGTGCCGAGTTTGATTTCCATCTTGGGCACAACAAGCTCGGCACGGTGCTGGGCGCCAACCCGCCATCCCGGTTTGGTGAATTGAAATTGGACGGAGACGAGGTTCTGGCTTTCAGCGAGAAACCCGAATTGTCAGCTAACTGGATAAACGCAGGCTTTTTCTTCTTCCGTAAAGAATTTGTTGACTATGTCGATGTGGATCCTGCCTGCGTTCTAGAGCAAGCGCCGTTGATTAAACTTGCCGGCGACAGCCAGCTGTCAATTTATAAACACCAGGGGTTTTGGCAGTGTATGGATACGCTAAGAGACCTGGAATATCTGGATGCGCTCTGGGCGAAAGGTGATGCACCTTGGTCGCCTTCTTAACCATCCGTTCGAATAAAGGACGCAAAAATGAAAGTATTTGTCACGGGCCATAAAGGCTATATCGGCGCTCATCTGGTCGAACTGCTGAAAGAAGAGGGGCACTGGGTTACCGGGTGCGATATCGATCTATTTGAAGGCTGTGAATGGGAAAAGTGTGTGCCTGCAGATCTTGATCTGAACAAAGACAGCCGCGCGGTTACTGAAGAAGACCTAGCCGGGCATGATGCCGTTCTGCACCTTGCTGCTATTTCAAACGATCCGATGGGTGACCTTGATCCTTCTATTACCTACGGCATTAATCGAGACGCCTCTGTCCGCCTTGCTCAGCTGAGTAAAAAAGCAGGCGTACCTCGCTTTGTTTTCTTCGGGAGTTGCTCGGTTTACGGTCAGGGAGAGAAGCTTGATCTGGAAGAGACGGACCCGCTAAATCCGATTACGCCGTATGCAATATCAAAAATTGATTCGGAAGTGATGATCAGTCCTCTTGCGGACGAGACGTTTACGCCAGTGTACATGCGTAATGCCACAGCTTATGGGTTTTCTAAAATGCTGCGTACCGATCTGGTGGTCAACAATCTGCTCGGCAGTGCGTTGTCGTACAACGAGATACGCATCATGAGTGATGGCAGCCCCTGGCGACCGCTGATTCATTGCAGGGACATTGCCCGTGCAGCAATTGCATTCATGCAGGCGCCTGCGGCAGATGTTCACAACAAGGCTGTTAACGTTGGCGGTAATTCTGAGAATTATCAGGTGAAAGATGTTGCTGATCAGGTGCAGAGGTTGATCCCCGGAGCTGACATCACCTTTACCGGGGAAGTTGGCGCAGACCCAAGGAATTATCGCGTTAATTTCGATATGTTGGCCGAAGTGCTGCCGGATTTTAAGTTAGCTTATAACCTTGAAAGTGGTATGGAAGAGCTTCACAGCAAAATGGTTGAGCATGGATTCAATGCGGCAGATTTTGAAGGTGATCAGTTTGTTCGCCTGCGTACGCTGGCCAAGCGCACCGATCGTTTGAACTTTTCATCCTAATGCCAATATCTGAAACGCGGAGAAGTAGTCGTGCTGTTTGAAGAAACCCCTCTGGCCGGAGCTTATGTGATACGGCAGGAAAGACGCGGTGATGATCGCGGCTTTTTTGCGCGGGCATTCTGCAGTCAGGAATTTGAACAAGCGGGTCTGGTAACACAGTTTGTTCAGGTCAATAATTCCCTGTCTGCAAAAAAAGGCACGTTACGCGGTATGCACTACCAGCTGGCGCCTCATGCAGAAACTAAAATTGTCCGGTGTGTGAGAGGTGCGCTGTGCGACGTGATCATTGATTTACGTCCGGATTCAGAAACGTTCTGCTCAACTTTTCAGATAGAGTTGAATGCTGAAAACCGAGATATGCTTTATGTACCGAAAGGTTTCGGCCACGGATTTATCACCCTTACCGATGACACTGAAGCGTTCTATTTTGTTGATGAATTCTATGCGCCTGACTTTGAGCGCGGTGTTCGCTGGAACGACCCAAAATTTGCCATCGATTGGCCCATAGAACCAGTCGAAGTGTCTGAGAAGGACTCGGGACACCCGGATTTTGACCCAGCTTTCCATCTTTCATCGGCTGAACCGCCCGCGTAATGAAGATTCTGTTTACAGGTGCCAGCTCTTTTACCGGTTATTGGTTTGCAAAGACGCTAGCCGAACATGGGCACGACGTTGTCTGTACGATGTTGCGTGGCGAGGCTGACTACGATGGCGTGCGTGGGCTACGGGTACAGGGCCTTAAAACTCACTGTGAACTGGTTTTCAACTGTGGCTTTGGCACGCTTGAATTCCTGGAATGCATCGAAGCATCGTCTAATTGGGATTCCCTCTGTCATCACGCAGCTGATGTAAGCGATTACAAAAGTCAGGACTTTGATATTCCAGCAGCTTTAGCCAACAACACGAACAATCTTAACGCCACGCTGCAGGCGCTGTCTGGGCGTGGCTGTCGAAGGGTTGTGCTTACCGGCTCAGTTTTTGAAGAAGATGAAGGCGCAGGTTCCGGTGATCTGCCGGCTTTTTCGCCATACGGTATCTCAAAATCTGCCACCGCATCCGTGTTTAGGTACCAGACAAATCGATTGGGACTCGGTTTGGGCAAGTTTGTTATTCCCAATCCGTTTGGTGCGTTTGAAGAACCAAGATTCACGGCTTATCTGGTGAATACCTGGGCGAAAGGGGAGGTTGCCGCGGTAAACACGCCTGATTACATCCGCGACAACATTCATGTCGATCTGCTGGCGGCTGTGTATGTCCAGTTTGTCGAAAATCTTGCTGAAGCAGGGTTCAGTCAGGTTAATCCCAGTGGTTATGTCGAATCACAAGGCGTTTTTGCGCAGCGATTTGCTGCGGCTATGCGCAAGCGTTTGCATGCCGCTTGTGAGGTTGTGCTGAATAAGCAAACCGATTTCTCAGAACCTTTTTTCAGAACCAATACAGAATCTGCTGAACGTATGATTTCCGCATGGGATGAAGAAGGAGCTTGGGATACGATAGCAAATTTTTACGCTGAAAAACTTAACCTACCTCTAGAACCCTCGAAGGCCTGATATGAACGAACAAGGATCGTCAAACTCTGGTGGCTTAGTGGTTGCCGTAGTGCTGACTTGGAACGATGTCGAGTTGACCTCTAATTGTCTTGAGTCGGTGCTCGCCAGTAACTACGCCAATCTTAGGTGCTGCTCGTCGACAATGGTTCAAAACCACAGAGAGGTGGGGAATTAAGGGAAAAATTCCCTCAGATCGAAGTTCTACAGCTTGAAGAAAATCAGGGCTTTTCTGGTGGTGCAAACCGTGGAATGGAGAGAGCATTGGAACTCGGAGCACAGTACCTGCATGTAATTGGCAACGATTCAACTTTAGCAAAAGACACCATCTCATTAATTGTTGATGAATTTGAAACTAGCGTTGATACCGGCGCAGCTAGCCCGATTTTACTGAATCCTGGGGAGCCGAAAATAGTTCAATTTTATGAAGCTACCGTTGATCGCGATATCGCTCAACACATTCATCTAAGGGTAGGGGAGCGGTATAGTCCGGAGCGGTTTCCGACTACGGAGAGCGCGTTTATACCAATGGTCGCAGTCATGTTCCGATCGAAAGCATTACTTGAGATCGGGTTGCTAGACGAAGAGTTCGGAACATGCAGGGAAGACTATGATTTGTGTATGAGACTTCAGAACGCAGGTTGGAGATACAAAACGATTGGGGCTGCACAGGCTAAGCACATTGGTAGCCATACGACAGGTAAACAGTCTCCTTACATCCTCTATTATACAACTCGTAACAGACTAATTTGTTTGCGAAGACACGCAAATCCCGGTTATTGGCGAAGAAGGTTTTGGGATCTTGTGCGCTCATTCGGACACCAATTCAAAGTGAATGGCGTGCTAAATTTTTCGGCAAATTATGCGATGCTTCGAGGAATGTTTGATTATGCGTTTAAGATACGCGGAGAAACTCAGGGTAATCTAACGAGACTCGATGCCAGAGAATATCATCAGAACGACAACAGTCTGAGCTCGAAACTAATGTCAAAATGTTCTGACAAGGCCGGACGGTTTTCGTTCCGTTACAAATGACCGACAACCCCATGCGAAAGATCACCGAAAAAAATCTGAGCACCCAGTATCATTCTAGACTAATCCATCAGTGTAGCCATCGATGCAAATCTCCAAGAGCACACAGGGTTTTACCCCGATCTCACAGACG